AGAACAACTCCAAGGGCAGGTGTGGGCTGACCCAGTCTCAAATGCTGTCGCAGTCACATTTTTCAGCTGCCAACTTCTGTCCTTAAACAAACACAGAGACTAGAAACAGGAACAAAACTGTGGGTTGAGCAGAGTTGAGTGTACAAGGGGTTAGGGGTAGGGGCAGAAGCAGGTGACAGCTGGGCTGCTGCCATTCTCTGGTGACACTGGAGGGAGAGACTTCCCTGGGGCATGCAGGGCTGCCTCAGGAGCCTTCCTCAGGCAGGCAGAGCACAGCTAGGGCCCCTGTGAAGTGAGGAACAGAACCAGAAAGGGAAGATGGGGGTGGGAGGGCCAGAGGCCACCTCCCTCACTCTTCGCTTCTCCCAGTCCTGGCGGGCACCGTACCTCCCTGCAAGGATATCATAACAAGGAGTGGTAACAGAAAGAACACCTGTCTGGCACTGTGCAGTACAGTGGGAAGAATCCTTGGCCGGCACTGCCTGTGACCTTGGACAAGTCATTTCACCACTTCAAGTACAAAAGTAGTAAAATTTAATTTTTCTAAAGCACTTTGTAGCTTACCAAGCACCCTTACATTTGTTATCTATGCACTGATGTGACTCTTGAGGTTGGTGTTATCGCCTTCATCTCCTGAGTCAAAGTACCAAGAGATCAAGGATTAAACTTTTTCTTTGATGTACCCTAAGCAATGGGAACAGTGACTGACATATTACCCTGACATTCAAAAGTACTTGAATAAATAGGAAATAACACTCCCATTTTTATAAACAAATAAACTGATGCTTGAAATTACTGCTGTTCTGTACCCTCAAGTCAGAATCAATGGATAGCTGACCCTCTGGCAGGCTTTCAGAGGCAATAAATTGCTTGGTAAGAAAATGCTCATCTTTCTTCCACAGAGCAACTGGTGAATTTGAACCACATGCCTTTGAGTTGGCAGCACAATTCCTTACCACCAAGCCATCAGAGCTGCTTAGAAGATAATGTGAAATGCTCAAAGTCACCTCTCACTCAGGACTCTTTGCCATCACATCAGAACCAACTAATAGTTGAGCCTCCCGCAGGTATACAGAGGCTGTAAATCACACAGGAGACTGCCCATTTTTCTCCTGTGAAGTCCCTGCTGAATTTGAACCAGCAGAGAAGCATTATCTACGTTATGCAAGTCATCTATCAAAAAACTCATTGCCATCGTGGTACAACCACTCTGGAAGGCAGTTTGGTGTTTCCTCAGAAAGCTGAACATAGAAATTCCCTATGAAACATACCCTGAGAAAATAACTGAGGCACAAACGGAGATTTGTACACCAATGTTAACAGCAGTGTTAGTCACCATCGCAAGAACATGGAAATAGTCCAAACGTCCAACCACCATTGACTAGAATGAGAAATTATGGTATATTCACAGGATGGAATACTACACAGCATTCAGGAGCAATGATTTTGTAAATCACTTAACTCAGGAGGGACTTGAGAGCATTATGCTAAGTGAACTAACTCAGTCTGATAAGGACAAATACTACATAAGGACATTATTGTACAAATAGATAAATAGAAAAACATGTACGAGGATCTAAGGAGCAGAGAGGTGGAGCAAAGATGGGCGGTGGGGGTCACCATAGGGTCGCACAATTTGATAGGTGGAGGGAAGGGTGGGTTAAGGAAATGGAAAAGATCCGGTATGAAAAACAATGTATATGAACTTTGTCAGTAAATCAGTATAAAATAAAAATCTAATTTTATAAAAACTCAAAAATTCATTGCCATCAAACTGAAATTTACTAACAGATGACCCTCTAGCAGGGTTTCTGAGGCTATAAATTTCATGGAATGAGACTTCCCATCTGTATTCCACAGAACAGCTGGCAGATTCAAACTGCCTGTCTTTGGCTTAGCAGCAAAACTCTACCCATTAGGCCACCAGGGCTCGCTAAAGTTACCTGCTGTCATGTTCTGTCAAGTTGGAACTGACTCATAGTTGATCCTCCAGAAGGTAATTCAGAGGCAGTAAAAGGCACTGGAGGAGACTGCTCATCTTTCTCCCACAGAGCAGCTAGTGGATTGGAACCACGTATCTTCGGGATTACAGCATAGGTTCTTACCATTAGGCTACCAGATCCTTACTATAGGGAGTAAAGGCCTCTGCTTTATTATTACTACCTTTAATAAAACTCTGGTGGCCTAGTGACAAGAACCTATGTGTGCTATTCCTCCTGAATTTAATGACCATCTCAGGACTTGTTTGAGGCCTTGAAAACAAATGGGCAAAGACCAGATGAGTTGTGGGAGGGTGTCAAGAATATCATCCATGAAGAATGGAAAAGGTCATTATAAAGACAGAGGAGAAAGAAAAGACCAATATGGATTTTAGAAGAGACTCTGAATACTGCACTAGAATGCCGAGAAGCCAAAACAAAGATAAGAAATTAAGATGTTAAGGAGCTGAACAGAAGATTTGAAAGGGCAGCACGAGAAGATAAAATATAATAATAAAATGTGCAAAGATCTGGAGTTGGAAAATCAAAAGGTACCAACTACCTCAGCATTTATGAAACTGACGACACTAAAGAATAAATTCAAGTCTCAAGTTGCAATACTTAAGGTTGTTGTGGGCAGAATGCTGAATGACCCAGGAAGCATCAAAAGAAGCTAGGAGTATACAGAGTCACTATACCAAAAAGAATTGGCTGACACAAGAATTTCATGAAACAACATATGATCAAGCGCTAATAGCAATGGAGAAATTTTAAGCTGCTCAGAAGGAATCGGCAAAAAACAAGGCCCCAGGAATTCACAGCACACCAACTGACATTTTTCAATAAACAGATGCTGCCTCAGACGTGTTCACTAGGTTGTGCCAAGAAATCTGGAGAACAACCTGGCCAACTGGCTAGAAGAGATCCATATTTATTCCCATTCAAAAATAAAAGGTGACCCAATAGAAGTGTGGAAATTATCGAACAATATGCCTAGTGGCGAGAAGCTATGCTGCGATCCTAAAGGCATGTGGTTCAAGGCCACCAGCTGTTCCACTGAAGAAGGATGGGCAATCTCCTCCCATGTGATTAACCGCCTCTGAAAACCTGCCCAGAGGGTCAGGTATGGGTTATTTCCGACTCGAGGGTACACAACAAGAACAATATAAAAAATATTACATACAAGCAAGATCTTGCTGAAAATTATAAAAAAAAAAATGACTGGAACAGCACATCAACAGAGAACTTACAGATGTGCAGGCTGGATTTAGAAGAAGCCATTGACACTAGGGACATCACAGCCAATGTTAGATGACTCTTAACCTAAAAGCAGGACATACCAGAGGAATGTTAGATCTTGACTGAAAGCAGAGAGTACCAGAGGACTGTATTTCATTGACTATGCAAAGATATTTCACTATGTGGATCAAAACAAACTGTCACTAACTTTGAAAAGAATGGAACTCCAGGACACTTGATTGTGCTTATGTGAAACCTATACTTGGACCAAGAGGCAGCCATGAGAACAGAGCAAGAAAACACTACATGGTTCAAAATCAGGAAAGGTGAATGCCAGGGATGCATCCTGTGTCCATACCTTTTCAATCTATGCATGAAACAGATATTCTGGGAGGCTAGGCTCTATGAGGAGGAATGTGGCATCAGAATCAGAGGAAGACTCACCAACAAACTGTGTTACGCAGGTAACACAACCTTGTTTGCTGAAACTTAGGAAGACCTGAGGTATTTGCTGCAGAAGGTCAAAGACTACAGCCTTCAATATGGATTGAAGCTCAACATGAAGAAAACCAAGATTCTTACCACTAGGCCAATTGGCAGTACCATGATAGGTAAAGAGATTGAGATCGCTCACAGTTTCAACTTGCTTGGCTCCACAATCCTCACTCGTGGTACCAGCACCCAGGAAATCAAAAGACAAATTGCATTGGAAAAATGTGCTGTCAGGGTCATCACCAGAGTACTGAAGAGCAATGATGTCAGTCTAGAGACTAAGTTATACCTGATCCAAGCCATGGTCTTCACAATTACTTGCTATGCATCAGATAACTGGACAATGACTAAAGATGATAGAAAAAGAATCAATGCCTTTGAGTTGTGGTGCTGGAGAAGATTATTGAACATACCATGGACTGTTAATAGAACAATCGGGTTTGTCCTAGAGAAAGTAAAACCAGGCTGCTCCTTGGAGGCAAGGATATTGAAGCTTCATCTGACATAATCTGGGCATGTTGTCAAGAGGGACCAGTCCTTGAAGAGGGACATCATTCTTGGAAGAGCGGAGGGACAGTGCAAGAGAGAAAGACCCTGAATGAGATAGATTGACTCAGTGAGGGGGGAAATGGGGGTAGGTGTGTCAAAAACCATGAAATTGGCTCAAGATAGAACTGGGTTCAGAGATGTTATATGCAGAGTCACTATGAGTTACAAGCAAATTGACAGCACATAACAACAACAACAATGAAGCAGAGCTGGGTTGTGTAGTCCCTCAACTGAGGGCTATTCCCATCATTCCATGGCTGCCTGCCTCATCTGAGAAAGGGGAGTATGGGACCCGGTGACCTCCCAGATCCCTTTGAGCTTTTATACTAATTAGAAAGAATTCTCAGAAAGATGGAAACAGCCATCAAAGCAAGAACTCAGTCTGCATTTCCCAGAGCATCCAGCAGACCAGGGAATGGCAGGTCTGCAGGGTGACTCCATGAGACAGCGGTGTGGAACTGAGATCAAGGTTTCACCCGATGCTGCTAGCAAAACCAAAACCAAAACCAAACCCACGTGTTCAGTCGGTTCTGACTCATACTAAGGTTCCATTGGGTTTCTGAGGCTATAAATCTTTATGGCAAGAGGGACTGGAAGATACAAACTTCTGACCTCTCAGCAGCCCAAGCTAGGGATTTATTTTTCAAACAAACGTTTCCTGGATCAGGCTTGGGTTGAGCCTTGGAGTGACTCAGAAAGGAGCCTCTATGGAGAGCAAAGAGCCAGACAGGAAAGACTCACGCCTGGCTGCAGGAGTCCTGATTGAAGCGGCAGGCATAGATGAAGTTGTCCAGTGCATCCTTCTCCAAGGAGGGTGAGCCATCAGGCAGGCGAGACAGAATGTTGATGTAGTGGAAGCGGTACCATTCTCTCACTGCATCCACCCCTGACGAGTAGGTCTGGTAGAAGCAGTCTGATTTGTTCTCGTTGCACTGGACAAAAAGAGACCAGGAGACAGGAAATAGCAGGAGTCAAGGAATGAGAGGTCTGGAGTCTGAGGTGAGGAAGAAAGAGGACACAGAGTTGGAGAGATGCAAAAGTCCTGAGAGACAGAAGAGGCCAGGAGAGCATGGGGTCAAGGCAGTGATGGGCAAACAGGTACAGTTCCTGGGTGGCACAACTGGGTAAGCATTCAACCACTAACCCATCCAGAGGGTCCTCAAAAGAAACTCTGAGGGTCTACTGCCACAATGATACCAACCTGAAAGCTCTATGGATTACAGTTCTACCCGGAAACATAGGGGATCACCATGAGTCAGAATAGACTCAAGGGTAAATGGTTTGGTTTTGGGGTGGAGGGAGACCAGTTGCCACACACAGAGGGTTGCTGTCATTTATACAGCCTCTGAAGACGGACTGAGCATAAACCTTCTGTTTGCACTGATGGGGAGACTGAGGGATACAGAGGATTGTCCAAGCAGAAGGCAATGGGATTAGTTCTCAGGCTTCCAGGCAGAATGGCCCTCTCTCACTAGAGGGAGCCTCTCTTTTGTTCCCATCTGATCCTCTCCTAGTTCCTTTCTTAAGTGCGCTTATATTTTCTCACAAGCAGTCTCGGGGTTACTAATGAATGAGATCCATTAAATGTGTCTTCAAATCCAATTTGTAAGGGAAATCAGAGCAGGTGCATGTAGTTCTTGGTTAGCCTTACTCTAGTGCAAGAAAGGCTTCAAGCCTTTTAAAAGCTGCACATGCAACCAGTCAAGGTGACGGTGATGAAGAATTTGCTGGTTGAGTAGGTTCAAAGTGAGGGAAAGTTTACATAATATTAAAGGGTAAATTCGCGTTGTCTATAATTAGGACTTTGGTAGCCCAAGGAATAACTGTATTCTTTAAAAGCTTTTATTGCCTGCTTGGTTTTTAATTCTCCCTCTTTATTGTCTCTTTATCCTTATCTTAGACAATCAGAGCCTCGGTTACCCCATCACACTGGAGAGTCCTAAGTCAGCCCCACGCGGGTGGAGATGAGGACACCACTGGAATTTTAAAAGGTGCATTTTGCACAGCAGATTTGACGTCTTTGCTTCATAAACGCTTCACGGAGCCCCCCACTTACGAGACCCTGCAAGTCAGTGGACAAAAAGATGTTATTACTTATCTACATAGTCACACACTCATATTGCCAACACGCCAAGAAGGACCCGCCTAAAATCACTCGGCAACAGAGGCGGGGTCAGAAAAGCGATCAAAGTTCAAGGAAGGAGGCGGAGCCGGACGGGAGGGGGGTGGGCTTCTCCCCGTGTTGGTGGGCGTGGCCACGGGGGCCGCGCTGGGTCTTACCAGTTGGAAGCCGATCTTCCAGTCCTTCCGGTTCACCTGCGGGTTGTTGTCCCGCACGCTGGAGGTCGCGCTGCGAGGCTTGCGGGCCGGGTGGGACAGGGGCTCCACGTCTAGGCGCAGCAGGGGGTGCGGCAGGGGGCCCCGGAGGTCGCGGCGGCTGCGGCGATGGGCCTCGAAGAGGCTGGAGAAGTTGTATTTGTACAGATCGAAGAGCGTGCTCTCTGTGATGCGGTCCAGCTCTTTGAGGTCCGCTTTAATTTCGGGGTACCTGGATGGGGTAATGGAAAAAGGGTTAGACTAGAGGGAGTCGTCCCTCGGCTGTAGCGGGCGGTGCCAGTTCATCCCCAGGAGCGCTTCCCCAGGGCTGTCATTGTGGGGTGGGGGAGGAGGTCTAGACAGGCGTGTCGGAGGGAGGATGTGGAGGCGACGCGGGCCCGGCGGAGACTGTATTTATTGCCGCCTGTTTACTGAAAGAGAGGCGGGAGGCGCCTGTTGGTGGGGCGCTCTCTTCCCACTCTCCCGGACCTAGGAGGGAACCCGGAACTTGTCTGCTCTTTCCAGAGGCAGGAGAGAGGAGTGGGCCGAAGCCTGGGTCCAGACTGTGTGCACAGGCTCTCCTGCCCTTTGCCCCCTCAGGCAGAGGTGGCCTTGGGGCCCTGTGGCTGCCACCGCGCACCTTCAAAGGCAGGAGTTCCCAACTGCATGTTTAGAATCTCTCAAGGAACTTATAAAAATACCGGATTTCTCACTCTCCTACAGAATCATCCCCAGAGTTCCAGTTTAATGAGTTTCAGGTAGGGCCCAAACATCATAAATTAAAACACTGGCTAGTCCTCAAGTCCTATTCCTTGTTCTCAATACAGTCCTATTACCATCTCACCAGTGAACGTTCAGAATTAATTTACGGAAAGAAATCTACCCAAAATAAACAGAAGTAGGAGGTGAGATACTTCATCTTACTTGGATCCACAATCAACACCCTTGGTACCAGCAGAAAGGAAATCAGAAGACATATTGCACTGGGAAAGTCTGCAGTTTGAGACCTGTCCAAATTATTGAGGAGTTAACGATGTCATGTTTAGGACTAAGTTGCGTCTGAGTCAGACCATGGTTTTTCTAATCACTTGCCATGCATCTGAGCTGGGAAATGAGTAAGGATGGCAAAATAATTGATGCCTTTGAGTTGTGGTGTTGAAGAAGACTGCTGAAGATCTCATGGACTGCCAAAAGAACAAACAGATGTCTTAGAGAAGGTGCAGCCAGAGTGCTATTTGGAGGCAAAGATGGTGAAGCTTCGTCTCACACACTTTGGGCAAATTGCTAGGTGAGAGGCTTCCTTGGAGAGGGACATTCAACTAGGTGGATTGACGGAGTGACTGCCACAGTGGGCTCTAGCATGTCAGGAAGTGCTAGGATGGCACAGGATAGGACACGGCTCAGATCTGTTGTTCATAGAGTCGCTATGAGTCGTACATGACAGCACCTAACAACAACGATAAGCTGAAGTCTCAGGATACAGAGCTTTTTACAGTCTAGAAACAAAAGGTTGGAAAGTGAAATCGAAAAACTAATTATTAAAAAAATAATAAAATAAAAAAAAGAAAAACTATTACCATCTAAAAATAGCATAAACAGCCAACTTGACTCAAGAGCACATAACAAAGTCACAATGAGATCTGGTCGTGTAGTGGGTAGCATGTTGCCCTGCTAATAAAAAAATCGGTGATTGGAATCTACCAGCTTCTCAGAAGAAAGATGGGTGGTCTCTTAGATTTATAGCCTTGGAAATTCAATAGAGGATCATTATGAGTCAGGGTCTACTCAAAAGCGTGGAGAGATATAAAGCCACAGTAGTCAAAGCATCGGTACTAGTAGATAATAGATAGCAGAACAGGGTCTGGAAAGAAAGAAATATGGTCAACTGATTTTTTTTATTACAACTTCAATTCAATGTGGAATATATGTATTAAAACAGACTGAGGTCATGAAATGTCACAAAACAAAGCTGAACCTTGTTTTGGGGGGTGAGGATGGGAAAATGAACTTGACTTCTTTCTTAAAGAGCTCTGATGACACTGTGGTTAAGACTTGACTGCTAACTCATAGGTCAGCAGTCCCAAACCATTAGCTGTTCCATGGGATAAAGATGAGTCTGTTTCTGCACAGATTTATGGCTTTGGAAACCCTAGAATAGTTCTGTAGTGTCCTATAGGATTGTTAAGAGAATAAACTTCATAGCAGTGAGTTTTTCTGCCTTACAAAATCCACTGTCATTGAGACAATCCTGATTGATAGCAACCAATTCATAGAGTATAAGTGCTCCATATGGTTTCCTAGGCTGTGATTCTTTGTGGAAGCAGCCAGCCACATCCTTCTCCCACAGAGCAGCCTTAACAGTTAATGGCTGAGCAGTCAACCACTGTGCTACCAAGGCTTCTTTTTACATTACTACATACACAAAAATCAAGATAGATCATGACTTAAAATCCAGAACTATATGGACTCTAAGAGAAACAGGATATATATTTGTGACCATAAAGTTGGCAAAAATTTATTGGATGAAAGTGCAAGCCAAAGAAGAAAAAATTACAAACCATCAAAACTAAAGATTTCTGCTTATCAAAACAGCATTTAGAAAACTATTAGGCAAAAATAACTATGAGATATCATCTCACCCCAGTCAGAATAGCAAAATTTAAAAGAACAGCAAACAACAAATGCTGGCAAGGTTGTGGTGAAACTGGAATCCTTTATTCACTGTTGATGGGAGTTTAAAATGGTGCAACCACTATGGAAGGCTGTATGACACTTTCTCAAAAAGTTGCTAACAGAATTACCATTTGACCCAGCAATTCCACTACTGGGAATTTACCCTAAAGAAACGATAACTGCCACTCAAGCAGATATATGCACACCCATGTTCATTGTGGCTTTGTTCGCAATAGCAAAGAGCTGGAAACAACACAAGTGCCTGTCAACAAATGAATGGATAGAGAAGCTCTGGTATATTCACACAATGGAATACTATGCAGTGTTGAAAAACAAGGAACTCATGAAATATGCCAAATGGATGACCCTGGAGGACATTATGCTGATTGAAATATCTCAGTCACAAAAGGATAAATATTGCATAGGGCCACTGTTGTAAAACGGGACTGACATCAGAGTGGAGGGAAGACAGAAAAGGAGGGGAGGAATGATGTATATTGCATTGAAACAGATGAGGGAGAGAATTGTTTGTTGTTGTTGTTGTTATGTGCCATCGAGTCATTTGCGACTCATAGTGACCCTATGTACAAGAGCTCTAAACACTCTTCTATCCTGTGCCAACCTAGCCATCTCAAACGCACTTATTCCCACCGCTCCAGTCACAGAATCGAGCCATCTCATAGAAGGTCTTCCTCTCCTTCGCTACCCCTCCACTCTGCCAAACATGATGTCCCTCTCCAAGGACCAGTCCCTCC